GACTAACCCATGTTAGTCCCATAACCCATGTGTAAATCATGCTGTTTTTACCTGTCAAGGTACGTCCATTCTCGTTTTGGGCAAATAAAATGCATCTGAACAATCCGTGCTGTGGAGAAAGATGAAGAACTCACTGTTGCTTATGGTTATGACCATGAGTCATCGGGGAAGTCTGGTCCAGAGGCACCAGAATGGTACACAAAACAATTGCTGTAGTTTCAGCAGAGGGAGTCTGGAAAAGATGCTGATGAGACCTGCTAAGACTCCTCTCACTACCGCTGTCCTGAAAAAACATTATCTCCCATCCCAGCCTGTAACTACCACCAGAAACTCTACCTTTGTTCTTCAACCTTCTTGCAGCTAACACTAACATCTAATCACTCTTGAACTGATTTGCGGCATCCTCATCAGTTTACAAGGATTGCAAATGTGAAATCCTCACTCAGATCACTGAGCAAGCTGCAAAATTCTATGGTTCTACAGTGTGGAAGGACTAGTATGTGTGTCAGTTGGTGACTGATTTGGTTGCACTACAAGAATACAGAGACTGAAAAAGAGCAAGTGATTTAAAAGGCATTTTGACTGAAATCGATGAAGTGGAGTGGAGTTTGAAAGTTTTAAAAACCATTGTCACTATTTCTTGAGATATACAACCACTTTACCACAACTTGTGAAAACTATGCAGTATTAAACCAGTATAGTTTATTTTGCTGCTCTGTCCATGTTTCCCCTAAGAACTGAAAATATAGATGTTTTTTATGTTTATATTACCAACAATTATTCTTGTATTATAAACCAATTTGTTCTCTTTTTTTTGCATGTGCGAACAGCTACAGTTATGTTTAAATAGGCTCTAGTAGTCTCGAGGTACAGTATTACACAGACAAAGCTGTTTATTTACATGATTTTTTTTTCAAGAAAAACTGAAAGATTTACACCATTAAAATTAAGTTAAGTAAGGTGTACTGTATATATGGGGAGAAGACTGAACAGAATGTACAGTATTTGAGGAAAAAGGCACAAGTTAAAGAGAAATCTTTTTACTGAACTGAACTTCAATATGCAAAAGCTGTCAACAAAGATTTATCAATAAAAACTCCAGCATAGAGCACAATTTGACTCATCTTTTCAGTGTTCTCTGCTGTAATATAATGATAAAATGTAGAAAATATTAATCGGGTTTTATCTAAGCCAAAATGGAGGAATGTTTAATACCCAGGTAATTAGGTCAACACTAAATATCCACACTGTGAGGGCGTGGTCATCGTGCTGCACCTGCGCGCGCGCCAGGTTAATGAGTGACGCTGGGTTACACCGCTTGCTTTAAAGGAAAAACGGCACAGGTAAATACTACATTTATTCTAATTTATAGGACTTATACACCACTTTATACGGATGAAATCGGGTGTAGCATAGCTTAATTATAGCGTTTAGTAAAAGTAAGTTAGTAAAGTGGTTTTGTAGTTTCAGAATCAACGCACAAACGAAAGCGGTCGTGGCGGTTTTAAGTCATCAAACGTTTGATAAAGGATACAGCTCGTCAGCGACATAATAGTGAAAGATTTTCTCTTTTAAATGATATACATCAACATAAAAATACATTCCCTTCGTGATTATTTTCTCTCCGCTGAAGGCCTGAGATGGACCGTTACAGGTATTTCATCTTCAATCAGAAGAGTGTGGTGGTCCTCGGCATCCTTCAGGTGGCGTGCGCGGGGCTTTGCGTGGTTTGCGGCTTTATGGATGCAGTCTTCCGCAAGAGCACTACTCTGAGTGAAACTAGAGCTCCACTCTGGGCTGGACTGGTAAGAAACCTTAAAACGGACAATTTAAAATGACTTAAATGGCTTCCTCCGTTAATCAATAATGCACTATCCTAGTTTGCCATGTATAGGTAGGCCTACTGTTAGCAAACTGGGACAGTGTCAAAGTCTCATAAAAAAAATATAATATGACACTTATGTTAGGATGATCGAATTCACTGCTGTATCCCATATTAAAACATACCACATTTCGCTATTTTATCATGTTAACATGATTTTCCTTCTGTCAATTTACTGTAATGTTTCTCACTGCTGTCTGAATGTGGTATAGGATTAACTTATTAATGCTGATTTTTAGTAATAGAAGATTAGATACAATAATAATAAAGAGGGTTGGGCCTATAGGTGTCCCTCTTAACCTGTATTCATCCTCTTGTAGCATCTTTGTGCACTGAGAGATGGTGATTCTACAAGGCCCCTAACGGGACTGGTGATGGAAAAAAAATGTGATGGTAGGAAAAATGGGTTAGGGTTAGCGTTCTCTTGCAAAGTTATTGCATTCCCCTGAGAAACTGCATTCTCTCGCGAATGCCGTGTAAATATAGTTTTTCCTCCCACCTCATATTATTTCCATCACAAAGGTTTGCAAGCAAACCTGAAGTTTCTTAGGGGAATGCAAAAGTTTTGTGAGAAAATACAAAAGCATTTAAATTTTTTTTTCTCCCATCTCATTTTATTTACCATCACCCTTGAGGGGCTCCATATGATTCTGTAAAGCTCATTTCACTTTTTCCTCCTCTTTTAGATTATGGCTGCCCCTGGTGTGCTTGCTCTCTTTGCATCCCAGAAGAAAAACCCAATTTTGGTAGTTTCTTATCTGTCTAATCCAAAGTATTTTTTCTGACAGTTGTCTCTTTCTACCTGTTGATATTAACACGCTCTCATTAATACCTTTAGGTAAATGTCATGATCGTATCATCTGTGATGTCGCTTTTTGCTGTTGTGATTGTCTTCATTTATGCTTGCGTCACTCTCAGCTATGGAGAAGAGGATGATGAGATCTTCCATGCCCATCCTATCCCTGAAGTGGTACAGTCACACCCAACCATGTTTACTTTCCCATCTGTTATACACTCAGCTTAAAATATAGAAGTATTTGATAAAGCTGTGTCCTGTGTAGAGGTTTGTCCTCAGCCGGATGGTGAAAGGAGCAAACAGCACCCTTCTGGTGGCCTGCATGGGGTCCTTGCTCTTTTCTTCTCTCATTGCATATGTTGGCTGCCACAGTCTGCCGCTTTGCGGCTGCTACGACTCAGCAAATGGCATGGTGGGTGAGATCTTTTGTAACACAAGAAAACCTCAGTGTTTTAAAGTTAGTATACTGAATACAAGATTGAGCTGTTAATTACTGCATGGTTGTGTATTTTACAGGAGTTTTTAGTTCCTCAGAATGACCCTGTTACTCCAACTGAACTTGTATGCTCTTGGCAAGGTACGTGAGAGATGTGTTGTTGGAGTAGGTTTGTACACTGAGATGACAATCTTATTTCATAAGTCATCTGCAATATGAGCCACAATGTATGCCATTATGATGATGTTAGTGAGGATGTGGCTGACTGTAATGAGATTTTATTTTGCCTCATGCAGATGGAGATGAGCGAATCTTTAGCTCCCCCATGTCATTCATGGATCACTGTCCTGAACAGGAACAACAAGACCTTTCCATGCTTCCACCATATAGCAGACTAGCATAGTAATTGATTATTTTTTATGTGTGTGTGTCTGGGGAAAATATGAAATATTGGGAAATATAGTTCATTAATTTTCCCCATAAAGATTTCATCAAGCCTGCTTGTTTCAAATCAACTTAAATTTGTTTCTTGATGTTTAAGTTATTATCAGTGCCATATTTTATATTATCTTTCAGTGTGTTTTTTTCTTAATGCATGTGCCTTGGCTTTATACTTTTTACATGATAGACTGATATTTTTACACACATAAACCTGTATGTATATGTTTTACAATAAACAATATATTACAAATTAAGTATCCTATTTGCCTCTTTATGAATTTACAAACCATTGCATTTCAATGGATGTTCAGATTATGATAACATACCAAGGGACAGTATCATTTTTGCAATGTCATTACTTTAAAATAAGTTTCTAGTTTCTGAACATTGAGTTCCCAAATGCACTCTTTAATTAGACAAATAAAGCACAATACCCGTCAGCTGAAATTCATAGATGTGGTACTTTATTTTTAGTAAAACATTTAAACAGTTAAAACCAAAACCACAAGCATTGATTTCTTTTGTACTCCTTTGATTATAGTGGATTGATGGTTTGTTTATTTTCTCAAAACTATATCACTCACTGACCAACATTAAAGGCATGAGTTGTATCGGACAAATGACTAGTAAAGATATGTTGTGCATGTTTGAGTTCGGGCATAGCAAGGTGTTATTTTATCAACTGCTGACTCCTGATATCATGAATTGGCTCATACACTTCGGTTGCAAAGATGCATAATTATCCCAAGAATAATAAACTATTACAAATAATAAAAATGTAACACTTAAGCATGTTAATAATCTTCCATATATTATCTGCATTTGGAAATTTCCAGCTGTAACATTGTTTTTGTGGATTTTTGAGATCTGCTCATATTTTACATTGTTAACTGTGTTATTGTGTTAAAGACAGAAAAAAAAATACAGAATTAAATTCTGAAGGACACTTGAAATGGTGAAAAGAGAAAATTGAAACTTGACACTTGAAAAGAGAAAAATCAGTACAGACAACAATGAAGAGAATCCAGACCAAGAGTATGTTTTTATCAAGACCAGTTCAGCATGAACCTACAAAAATCATGAATGCTCATGATGTTTATGGCAGATAAATAAGATATAAACCTTCTGTAAGCACCCAGGGTCAAATTATTAAGCACAAACAGACAAGTCTTAGTATGCATTTATGTTGCATTTAAATATTTAAGAGCCATCATCAACCGTGCACAATTCCTCAACTAATCACATGCTCCCCTGTTATTGTACCTGAATCAAACAATGCAAAGCATCAGCTAATCAGGCCCTTTACCAACCTACATCAAAAAATTTACCAGAAATCATATGCAAACCCTCTTTTTGGCAATTTCCCATAAAACAAATAAAGCATGTAATGCCTGAGCTTCTTTCATGCACTCCACAGGACCAGCTGTGGTTACATAATGACATGAGTGAATATTCCCTGTAATGGATTCAACTCCGTTCTGCGTATCAGTGTTGGAAAGAAGATAGCCGAAGGGAAAGACAATTTAGTCATTAGCATATCTGTATATTTGTACTGACAGATTACATACTGAAATACAGATTGATATCAGACCTTTTGTTCAGATTTATACCATGCACAATGTAATGCCATGAATAATGAGGTACTCATACTAATCTGCGATTATACACTACAGATCATTTTCATTTTGCCTAACAAAGCAGTACTACATACAAAACCTGACTGTAGATACTGAAGTAAATATTGTCAGCCAATTCTTGTCCCTTTTTTTAACCTAACTTACCTACATTTTAACATGATTCACAAGGACTGGTTATCATGCATAACCCAGATGTCTTTAAAGGAGATTTTATCCAGATGACTGACTGTTGGCAAAAATTGGCAAACATAAAACAATGGCAGTGGACTAGGACTGGCTTTCTCAGAAAAGCAAGGATATCAGCTTTTTTTCTTTTAAATTCATCCCTCGTTTTGTCTAAAACCTATTAGCAGCACTAATAAATAACCTGCATTTAGTGTGTGTGGGTGAGATAGAATGAGAACAAACAACAAACACACAGACTAAACCAGATTCACCTGGGAGGCTGAAGTGATTTAACAGAACAGTTTATCTAATTGTGGCAAATTTTTGTTTCTAAAATATGATGAAAAAAGCAACGTTGTGTACGATGATTTCATCGTTCAATTCACCTACAGACCTGCATAACTGGCTAAAACTAGTAGGCAAATGTAGTGAGTGTTTGGCAGTGGCATATGATATGAACTAGACAGACTGACACAACGGATGAAGCTTGTACTGTATATGTAAGGCAGATGGGCCTACATGCAACTTCTCAAAGCCTCTGGTTTGAGTGATGGACGAATGTTTTTTCCCTTTAAAATAATGGCCAGATTCTGCACATCAGATACAAAAAGAAATCTTGAGAATAGATGCTCCTGTGTCCTCAACCCTTGACCTGGACCTTCACAGATGACACAAAAGCACCTCTGAATCTGCTTCTTTAAAAGGTGCTTTACCTTTGTCACCTCCATCCTGTAAAGTGGTGACTCCTTCATTAGCTCATTCAACAACCGCAGCCCCATGTTCCCCTGTCCTCCTCGTCCTGCCTCCTGAGAGTGACAGTATCTCCTGATCTGCACGGTAGTTGACTTAACACCAGCGGCTTCTGAGATTTCAGCTTGTGCGCTACCGTCATAAAAATGGCTTCCACGTGGTCACTATTATTCCGACCACCGTTGTCGTTTCCATAGGGGTTCTTGGCAGAGGTCTCGAACAGAGGCATTGAGTGTGCATCGGCGAACTGCTGCGCTACGTCTGTGCTTACTTGAGCAGCGTGGCGCAGGTCGCATTTGTTGCCAACCAAGATTCTGGGCACCTCTTGACCCAGGGCATGCTGACGGCACTCCTCGATCCATGCCGGAAGGCTTCGGAAACTAGCGGCATTGGTGACATCGTAGACAAACACCACAGCATGGACGTTGCGGTAGTAGTGCTGCACCATACTCTTTCGGAAGCGCTCCTGGCCTGCAGTGTCCCACAATTGGACCTGGTAGAGTGGAAAAAGGGAGAGCTATTAGCAGTCAACTTATATCATACCATGCATATTTGTTCTTTTAACATTGCAGGAGAATGCAAGGTGTGTTCATGCATAAATGACAAACACAGGTAGGTATTATGATGAAAGTGTGGGTTTTGCGCATGAGAGTTTTTGGAAATGTACATTTAGTTATACTAAGGCTACTATGACCAATGCAATGGTGCACCACCAATGCATAGAGAGTCACAATAAGAAGTCTAACCCTGCATTACACTAGCCATCTCTTCAACCATATAAAGCCTATTGTATATGTACATTTTCAACAAGATCAGAACTGAAAAACATATTGTACACAATCTAGTACATGCATTCTGCACGCTAATTAATAGTTCATAGTTGACAACTGATATTTATACATATTTTAAGTATTCTGCTATATTGTTATAACTGATTTCATTATTTACATTACAGGATATCAGATTTTCATCTTACCCTTTAGCCATGTAAATAACAACATCTACCCAACATGCATATTTTTCTCACTTTGGGCCTCTGAATAAAATCATACTCAATGTATCAAATATGGTACAAAACATAAAACACATATGCAAACTTTTTCATATCTATTTAGTCTAACGTTAAACTGTTCTATTTTAAAAATTCCGACTATTATTTCATGTGTCAGGATTTACAGGATGACATTAACAAACATTGGAGTCATTTTGCAAAATAACCTGAAATCAGAAGCATCCTCACCTTGATTTTCTCTCCGTCTATTTCAATAACCTTCTCCCGAAAATCCACCCCGATAGTGGCCTCAGTCTTGTCTGGAAACTTGCCCGCACAGAATCTATAGGTGAGGCAAGTCTTGCCAACTCCAGAGTCTCCGATCACGATGATTTTAAAGATTCTGGTCCGTGGGGGAGGCAGCGAAGTGCAGGTCAAAGATGAGCTAAATTCAAAGGAGTTCTCGATATCTGCCATGCTGCCTTCCTATAGACAAACAAGTGCCTCACGGAATGGCACAGTGCAAATGTAGCTACTGACGCTAACGGGTCAAATAAATTATTCAAACGCAGGATTAGTTTAACCTTCAGCCCTTCACCTCAAGCTTTATGTGCAAAACTCAGAGTTTCAAACGTCGGGGACTGTATTTGACGTGTTGACCGGTAGACTCCGCATTTTGCTGATGCATTCCTGGCGGAGTCTTCTTACACTGTTTGGGTCTTCTGTAGCCACGTACGACGTTGACATAACTGTAATCTCGCGATAAGTCACATAATACTGAGAGCATTACGGTTGGTACTTCCACACATAGCTTCCACACAAAAGAGCGTAACAAAACGGAAATTTACTACTGCAAACGGAGTACACGAAACACACACACAAACAAAATGAATATGGAAGTTATTATATTATAATGTAATATAATTTATTTCAATAAAGGGGGTGGAAGTTTTTACTTTCCAGTGACTTTGTTGATATTTGTGCTTTTAATATTGCAGGAGAATTGCACTAAAAAGATTTAGTCGAGTTTGTTTACTGATTCGTTCCCTTAAAAGCTTTTTTATTAAAAACACCGATTCGTTCACGAAAGAAACCTCACTACACTAATAGTCATGTGTGGCTTAAAGTAAACAGTGCAATGATACTTATCAAAGTCCAACTCTAGATTTACTGGACGACTGCGGAAAATGTTGGTAAGTTCTCATACTGTGTGCCTGCTTTAAAACAACAGTGACACTCATTAAAATATATATTTTCAGTATGTTCCTATATTTGTATGTATTTATACATATGCAATTGTGTCACCATGTGTCTCTCAGTGAATGGTAATGTGCAGAACTAGATGTTTCGGTGTCAGTGTCTGGAGATCATGCAGATTTAATGTGCTGATAAACAGGTACATCAAGGTGTTGAGCTGGAAACGCCTCCCTCAGGACTGGAGAGAGAGTTTCATACTCTTTTTAATTCTGATGCTCTGCAATTTCTGTCTGAATTAATCTCTACCTTCCAAGCAGAGGTTGACAAGGTAGGCTATAGGGGAAACCACTTTAACTTATATATAATTTATATTAGGATTAAACCCCGTAATGCGTATTAAGGAAACCCAAATTACTTATATAGGCTAGCATAACAATGTTTGCTTGTTTGTTTGTTTATTTTTTGGATGAGTGTTCATCAAAAGATGTCATCACTCCTTTGCAAGGTTTTGAATTTACGAGTCCTCCGGAAAGTTCAGTTGGATCTGACTGGAGAGTTGCCAGGCTTTCTAAAGGACACAGCTCACATCCGAAATGATCCCAGCTGGAGAGTGAGTCCAGTTCCAGACCGATTACACTGCAGACATGTGGACGTTGGTGACCTTTCACCCTGTGATACACAACGACTTATAATAGGACTCAAATCTACTGCCCAAGGGTTACAGGTAGGAGGACTCAGTTGTGCAAATAAGATGACAAACACTGAAATTTCTGGTTGTAATTGTATTATTGTTCTGTTCTGTTGTAGATTGATTTTGATGACGGCAACTGCCCAACATATCGCAATCAAATAAAGGGCATTTACAATGTTTATCAGGCTGTGCACAACCAGTTTCAGGGTGAGTCTTATGATTCTAACTTCTGCTAATTGTTTTGTCAGAAGTGTAATGAATTAAATATTCTTTAACACAAGAATCCCATCAGAGATGTATGGAAAGCATGTGGTAACAATCTGTCGTATTCCTTTTGAATAGATGTACCACCCATTTCTCAGGCTCCAGTGCTGATGCTCCGCCCTCGAGCATGGAACATGGTGGAGCACAATATGATGGTATGGATATGTAGTGAGCTGGTTTAATGGCACAGATGATTATTTCTGCATTTTTGTTTGTTTGTCCAAACCACGTGTTGGTTGGTTTGAAATTGATCTAGTTTCACATTTCACCTTATAATGATTTAATGAGCTATTGTAAGGTTTTCCTTGGTTTAAAATTATAATCATTCATAACCACTCCTTTAGAAAAGAAAATGAGATTTATTTAAAATTTTAGCTCCCTCTCCCAGACAGCATTAAGTGTAAATATAGAGAAAATGGAGACTTTTGCTTGTTTCCTGTTTTAGATTGTTATTCTATGAAAAAAGCCCCATAGCCTCACGTGTGTCTCAAATGAAATTTCAAAAATTACTAAAACTCAGATCTAAATTCAAAAGATGAAAAGCCATTCAGTGAAAGCCATTCATAATAAAACTTCACATTCATGTTATTGCTCTTTACTTTTAATTTATGTCAGTAATTGTTTCATTTGTGTCTGTTTATATTGCTCCAAATTGGTGTTTGGAGAAACATTTGATTCAGATTAAAATGAAAGATAAATCAGATAACTCTAGCTGTAAATGAGCTAATCCTGAGTACTAAAATATCCTTCTTGGTAGTGTGAAGTGTATGAGTATCTGTTTCTTTGTAGGTGAATGGTCGAGAGGTTCCAGGTCCATTGTTTGATTTTGGTCTGCTGATGTTTCATAATGCAAAACTACTTCTTCAAAACCAGAGTGGCCCTTTTTTCTACTTGTCCAAGGTCAGTGTCAGATCACGTTGCTCCGTTAAACAGAACAGAACTTCAATGTAGTATCAAACATATTCTAGAAACTCTTCATGTTTTGTTGTGCAGGTTGAAAGCTACATGGAGGCCAGACTCTGGAGTCAGATTTTTTTCTGGACTGAGAAGAAGGTGCGAGTGTTGACAGAGATTACATATGATCCTGCTGCAGTTTTAACTGCCATGAATTTTATTTCTAATGTATTCTAAAATGTTTTGTAGCTTGGCCTGCCAGCGGGCTGTATAAAGGCCACCGTGTTGATCGAGTGTGTCCTGGCATCGTTCGAGATGGAGGAGATTTTGTACGAGCTCAAGGAGCACTCTGCTGGTCTAAACTGTGGCATCTGGGATTACTCAGCTTCCTTTGTCAACAAATTCGGTCAGCGCATACATTTTCTACGAGTTTGACTAGTAGACTCAATCAAATTCCTCGTTAGCGACCATGGTTTGCTTTCTAGGTCATCGGGCTGATTTCCTCCTCCCTGATCGCAGTAAGTATGTGGATATGGAGAAGCGTTTCCTGCACAGCTACATGGATCTTCTAGTGCAGACGTGTCACCGCAGGGGTGCCCTAGCAACAGGAGGCATGGCAGCATTGCTGTTGCCTAGAGACAAAGAGAGTGACCTCTACAAGACTGTACTCAGAACTGTCACCAGGCAAGACACAACCAGAACAAATACAAGCTCTGTAGTGATTTGAATCCAACCCATATTTGCAATCAAAATATAGTGGCACATACTTCTAAATCCTAATATGGAATAAAACATGAAATAAACTTAATTGCTTTTGCATTTAATCTAAATTTCATACATTTTCGTTGATGCTATAATAAGGCCGCATCACTATTATATCGATCAAACTTAGGGTTGGGGATTTGAACAACTCCATAACCCCAAGTATTCAAATTTGACCTGTATTCTGCACCAAGATGTATTATGGAACTTAAATAATGCACCAATCAGGCTGACAAATGTTGCCTTACAGACAATAAAACTGGGAAAATTCAATGTATTTGCATTTAAGAAGTGGCACGAGCCAAATCTATGGACCACAATATAATAGAGCCTTGGTGGTGGGCTCTTCAGACTTGGAACTGTGTGAAACCATCTAACAAACATCAAGAACACCCTAGCAATTGCATGCCTTTAAAACAACCCAGAATACTTTAGCAGCTACTTAGGGATGCCCTGGCTTTTACCCACAACATTGTAACCCAGCTAGCAAAAGTATGTTCAAACAATGTTATGCTAACTTTCCCATTAAGTTATGACAACATTATTTCTAAATGTTCTCTGAACATTTAAAATATCCAGTATCCAGTATTTTAAATGGTTTAAACAGTATATCTATATATACACAAACACACACAAATGTTAAGGGAACATTTGATTTGGCAAATATTATGGGAATGATGAATATATTACAAGAAAAACGTCCTATGAATGATGTATAAATCACATTTTTGTGCAAACGTTTTGAGAACATTATGAAAGACCAGACGACTTTGAACGAATATTATATTAACGTTACTGGAAAACTGGAAAGTTCTAAGAACATTCCCTGTTAGCTGGGCCTGTTTTGCATGCGCATGCACCAGATTCATCACAGATTGTATTTATCTAGTTATTTGACTGATACGTTTTTCTTGGCTCACAGTCATAGTCATTTTAGTATGCATAACATTAATATATTATTGTGCGAATCAAAGAAATACATCAATACAGCTCAACCAATTATGGTTCTGTATTTGTTTTCCATGCAAATGATCATTCTTGTTTTGTTTTAGACTTAAATTACTGGAGATCAGGGCAGGAGTTGATGGCTTCATGGTCTACGACATGGACCTGATTGAGCCCATGCAAAAAGTAAGTGTCTCACATAAGTTGTTAATTTCTGTCTAGTCATTGATAGACTTCCCCATCACAGCACTCGCATACAGTATATACATAGAAAAACATATCATCTCTCTCTCTCTCTCTCACACAGCTGTTTCAGCTTCACTCTCATGGTCAGAATCAACTCCTGCAGCTGCGTGAAGACATCACTGTGACCCCTGAAGACTTGCTCACTATGCCTGCGGTCAGTTGAATTCTATCACTGCAAATCATGTCAACATTTTAATAAATGTGTGGTGAGTGAAAATGATGTTGCCTTTGTATTGTGTGCTTTATATTTCTATAGGGAGGAGTAACACTGTACGGACTGAGGTATAACATTGCTGTAGGAGTCCTCTTCATTGAAGCCTGGCTTTCAGGTGCAAAACTTTATTTCACCTATGACCTTTTAAACAACACTTTTATGCTATGTGATGAATGGAGGTTTTAGTAATATTAACTTAGTACAACAGGCAGAGGTCATTTCTTCTATCTGGGGAAGGTTGAGGATTCAGCAACAGCAGAGATATCCAGATCTCAGGTTGGTTCACAACACTGTCCAGCTCTCATGCTACAATGTTATATTATCTCTTACTTTAAGAGGCTGCATTTGTCAGGTTTGGCAGTGGATCCGGCACCAAGTGAGACTGGAGGATGATGGGACAGTAGTGACCCGAGCTCTTGTCAGCAGTTTGGCTGAAGGATTGATGGAAGATCTGAAGGCAGCCATACATTGCCAAACAAGCAGGTAGAGAATGCTGTACAGACGCTTCATAAATTGGATTGAGAAAACATTTGTTGGACTTGAACAAGAAATAGTGACCAGAAAATGAAGTGGGATTCACACAACAAAATACCATGCATTACAGTGATTTTACAATGGTTACAGGATGTCCCTGGAGACAGTATGAAGAAATCATTGTTCAATAGT